TTTGCTGTCTGGTCGCCGTCGAGCCATCTCTCGGGTGCAAAGACGCTGGCATCGGGAAAGACTGCAGTATCTGCTCAAAATTATCAGAGAATTATAAAGAAGTCGCATGTTCTTCGTGTCTAGCTGGTAATAGGTAGCTTAGAACAGGAGGAAAGCAAAATACACTTACCACGAGAACAGGCCCATGTATTCAAGAATAACAAAGTGTTTGGTGGAATGGTAGCCCCCTTCCAGGTAACGGCCGAGTGTGTCGCCTTAGGTAATGCAAGCCGAAGGACAACGAAGTATCGACCAATCTCCTTGGTCAAAGCCTCGATGTACTCTACCTTTGAATGAGCCACTTCTGGCGATTTCAGGAGGCCCGGATTGGTGTCTTGGATTGCCTGATATGCTTTTTGCTGGATATCCTGCCGATTAGCGAGAAGAAGCATTGCCCACATGAGTGATCGCTTCGTTGTATCTGAGCCAGCCATCATGCTGAGACTAACGCTTAGAAGCTCTCCGTCCGTAAGACCTTTACTTTCGGGGTCCTTGAGAACATTTCCTTGAATACTAGAATTGCTATTAGGCTACATCACTGCAGACATCGTAAGAGGAATACATACCATGGTTTATCTGTGCCCAGTGTGATTTCCTTTTTGAGATTCTCCTGCAGGGCAGCATGGTATGCGTATCGACGTTTGCCGACATCCGCCATATGCGACCCATCTTGCAGCCCAAGCCACCCGGCCAAGGTACTTATTGGTCGCAAGAGAGGAATATAGTTCAAGTAGTTGCCAGAGACATCCCTGAACTTGGTGATTTGCTCTTCTATATAGATAATCTCCGTGAGAAGGAGGTCTCTATGCAAGTCTCGAACATCTTCGATTCTACAAAAACAACTCATGTTAGTCTGTCTGCGGTTCGCTGCAATGGACCACACACGTATATAGCTAGACTGAGTCTGCACTTACCGAGTACCGTAGCTGAGAGTCAAACTAAGATTAAGTGCAAACTTGCGGCATGGGTCAAGAATATCTACGGGGGTCTTTCCGTTTTGACATGCCTTAAGAATATCTAGCAAGAAGGCGCGTGATTCGAGATTGAGAAGCTACCAAGCACTTAGTTAAATATCAACATTCATAGGTTATAGATACTGACCGGCAAATACGTTTCGACGCTAGTCTTGTTCAATGCTGTGGCGGCAACCTTCCTCCTCCTTTTGCAGCTATGGTCCCAAGCGCTCGTGCCGATGCTTGTGACCGGCCCTCCCTGTTGCACCTTCTTGTGTAGAACATAAAAGGTCGGCCTCGAGTTTGTTGCTTCACGCTGGCTGATGAAGAATGCGCGTGCTGCGGCTGCACTGTTCACTATTACTGCCGTAGTGTTGCCCAACTGCAGTTGAAATACATCGCCGTACTTTGCAGCCCAGAGCCTATACTCTTCTGAGCCGGTCTTGCCTCGCAAGGAAGGGAGGCTGCCAAGTAAGGGATAACCCCAAGGTCCAGGAAGCCTTGAGATACGGGAGCGAAATCGCACAAGCTCATTTAGTAAAATGTATGCCACAAGTAGGAGAGGAGGCCCGATGATCGTCCACTTGAGAAGGGTATAGAGTACCGCCTCCCTATTATCCAGGCTTCCCCAGGACGGTGAATAAGCAAGACTGGGCATTTTGCTCTCAGAGGTGTCGTGGTGTTTCCTTGTGGTGACCGACAACCAATTATTGATGACTGATTTCGAAAAGAAACAGTGCAGTGCTGGCGAGTGGCTGCTTAAATCCGGAGAGGGGTGGAGGCTTGGATCCGTGTTTCCCGGACGAACTACTACATGAAGGGGCCGGTACCTCACCGGAAAACCCGTGCCTCAAGTCTCAGGCACGGGTTTCAATGTTTCCACATTTCTCGCCCTGGTTGCCGTTCTAACTCGGCGTCCGGCATGTCGTGATCGGGGAGTGCCATCACGACACACCCGATAACCCCTGCCTGGCTCCGCAGGATTCAAAGACCCCCACATCGACCGGGCACTTACACGCATCGTCGGAACCATACAGCCGCATTGCTTCGCGCCAATATGTGAGCTTCTCCGAGGTCGCAAAATGGAGAGCTTGACGGCAGAATTGAGAGACCGCCTGATTATCATCGACGGAGCAAAAGTTTAGTTGAATTTTGTCAATGCTCTTTTGTCGGCTGTCAACTAGAGCTTAATCGTGAGGCACTAAAGCCTACATAAATGGCCATGGCAAACCAAACCCAAATAGCAGTTGACCGTGGGCAGATTCCGTCACAGCAGAGCGAGGGCTCGACGTCTACATCAAGAGAGGAGACAGGCTCGCAAGCAATTGTAGTCCATCCTCAACGCCAACACGGGAACGCTCTGTGGCGCTGGCCATATGTGTTCGCGACAGCCGGTCTTGCGATCTTACTGAGCCCATTCGCCTGGTGGTCACAGGCAGAGAGCCCAATTGATCCGACTAATTATGCCCTTCGGACACAGCGCGTCTTGAAAACTACACCTCTTATAGACGGACACAACGACCTACCCTGGATACTTCGTGTTGAGCTTCATAATCGCCTCCATGATGAAACAAAGAAATTCGATCCTTACCAGCGCCTATTAGGCCATACAGATATCACCCGTATGAAAGAAGGCATGGTGGGAGGGCAGTTCTGGAGTGTATATGTGCACTGCGATGCCTCACAGAAACACTTCGAAGACCCATCAGTAAGTGATAGCTTGTCTCTACCTCGTACGTACGATCGACAATTGCACATTCTGATCAAGGCTTTTTGGTGTTAGTGGATAGTTCGAGACACTCTTGAGCAGATAGATGTGGCGAAACGTTTCATTTCTGAACACCCTGATGTTTTCACTTATTGCACGACTTCAGACTGTATACGAAATGCTTTCAAAAGTGGCCGTATCGCTAGTATGCTTGGCATCGAGGGTGGCCACCAGCTGGGCGGATCGATTGCATCAATACGCCAAGCTTATGACCTTGGTGTGCGCTATATCACTACGACACACAACTGTGATAATGCATGGGCCACTTCAGCCTCGACGGTCGCTGCACAAGGTCCTGAAGCAGACCACGGACTGGCTCCATTTGGTGCTGCATATGTTCGAGAAAGTAAGGAATATCTTGCTAAATAACTATAGAAGACCATTTCAAAGATGGGATGCTGACCTAAACCTTATAGTGAACCGACTTGGTATGATGCTTGATCTGAGCCATGTTTCGCATCAGACGATGCGTGATGTGCTGTCACTTGCCCGAGCTCCTGCCATCTTCTCACACTCTGGAGCATATTCAGTAGAGCCACATTTACGAAATGTTCCGGATGATGTGCTACGCAGCGTACGTAGGAATGGCGGAATAATCATGGCGGTATTCGTAAACCGGTTCTTAAAAATGAAAGACCCGGGTTCCGCTACGATTCACGATGTTGTAGATCATATCTTCCATCTCGCCGAGGTGGCAGGCTGGGAGCACGTGGGCCTTGGGTCAGATTTTAGCGGAACACCTTACACGCCTGCTGGCCTTGAAGTAAGTCAATACTCTTCCATCTGCCCTCTCTGATCTTGCAAATCCTCTGTTATTTCGAAAACAAGGATGGCTAACTCATTTAGGATGTATCGAAATTCCCTCGACTCATTGAGCTGGTCATGGCTCGTGGGGCTACAGATGAGCAGGTGCGACTCCTAGTCGGGGATAACCTAATTCGCGTCTGGGGTGAGATTGAGCGAAGAGCCAAAGAGATTCAAGCCGAAGGGGAGGGGATCGTTGAAGAAGAATGGGATGGTCGAAAGTGGCATCACGCTTACAAGAACTCCCCTTACATGTTCCGGGAGACTCGTGAAAGGGCGGCCCGAGAGAATTGGGGTGAACCACACCAGTTCTCTGTTGGCAAGGATGGAAAACATCAAGGACTCAAAGCTGAGGAGCATGTATGAGAGTAAATTGTGTAGAGTAGTAGCGTATAGCAAGCTGGACACTATCCATAAATGTCCTTAGTCGGCGATGCAATTAGACAATGTGTTAGGCTACTGTATAATTTCATATATTCTGACGTATCACTTTTCCAATGAGTAGACATGACCGTCATCCATCCTGGTCATGTAAATCCAATATTTCCTATTCCTATATACCAGCCTCAAAGCAGATATCAATGAGGATTTAACGATGTCATCGTACAATATCCAAAATTATCACCGGTACCGGCAGAATCAGTTCTGCCCCACAGTTACTGGTACTTATTCTTGTTTAAACCTGCATGCACGCATTGCAGCTCTGAAAGTGGGCACTAGATTCCAAGACTTGTAATTCTTTTGCAAGGTGCTAGCATCTTTGTCTAGATCTATTTCGTTTGCAACCCATGTGGGCGGGCCCTTTGATTCTAGCCACATGGAAATAACAGACAAGGCATCAACATCCTTCGGATGATGTGATATCTCCGGCATTCGTACAACGGCGCGCTCTGATAGTTTCGGAAATCTTTCGGGTCGACAAGCGGCGCTGTAACGTTGATACTGGCCCACATCGCATTTCATGTGTATTCCTAATCTTCTGCAAGTAGCGTTTGGCCCTAAAAGCAGACATATCCGTCTTCTGCTATTGGACAGTCGACGTGAAGAGAGTTGTGGTTGGCCGGCGGAGGTGGCCCGTTTGGGACCCACGGCAGGGGTTCCGGGAGTTCTCTATCCCCACTTCGGCCAGAGTTGCGTCTAAAGCGAGACGGCTCCTCATGGCGCAATTGGGCCCTTGTATAATGCGATTGCTCAACGACCAGAAATCCATAGATAAAACCCATGCCTCACCCATCAGGCACGGGTTTTCAGGCATGGGAATCTTGGGGAGGAAAACGGGTCCCACCATGCGACGGCACCGGCTTACTGACAAAATGTATATCAACCTGCTTGCCGCTGCAGGTTTACGGTCCCCTCCGCACTGCAACTTCGTTACATGAGCCTGGAAATCAATTGATCTTTCACAACTTTGGACTAGGTCAGGACAACCAATTATAATGGCCTCTTCAAGAGCAGGCAGCAATGAAGATGAGAAGGGAGATACCTCCCCCTCGGTCCAGTCTGTTCCGAACAGTGACCAATTGGCCGTCAGTGATGCAGTGGCGGTTAAACGTCTGGTTAGAAAGACGGACCTACTCATGATGCCGGGTTTAGGTGAGTTCTAAGCCGTTCGTCGAGAGCTCGCGAGATCTCGTAAACTCGTAGCATGGCAAGAAAATGCTAATATTTTCACTAGCACTCGCATACTTCACCCACACATTGGACAGAGCAAATTTGGGTAATGCCAAGACAGACACTTTTGAGAAAGATCTCCATCTCGTTGGCAATCAATTCAATCTGCTCCTTGTGCTCTTCTACGTGCCGTACGGGCTGTTCAATATTCCTTGGTCAATACTCGCCAAACGATTCAATTCCAAGGTAATTATCCCCATCGCTATCGCCATCTGGGGCACATGCACCCTCGCGTCCGTGGCAACGACAAACTTCGGCGGTATCATGGCTTGCCGAATCATTATGGGTGCTGCCGAAGCAGCGTACAAGCCTTGTGAGGTCTACTACCTCTCTCTGTTCTATACCCGCAAAGAAATGGCGCTCCGCGTGTCATGGATAGGGCAGATGGGCTTCATTGCCGGCGCCGTTAGCGGTCTTATTTCGTGGAGTGTGTTCCAATGGACAGGTCATCTCAAGGTCAGTACCTGTTAGACATCGACAAGTGGGTTTAGGAATGATTTGCTAATCAAGACTCGTGCATCAGGGTTGGCAGTATCTCTTCATAATCGAGGGTTCGATTACCCTCGCGGTTGCCATCTTTCTTTTCGCCTTTGCTCCACGCAGTCCTGAGAAGTCATCTTGGTATACAGAGCAAGAGAGGAGGCTCGCAAGAGCACGTCTTGAGGAGGATTCTCAGGACCAAGACAAGCAATTCCGCTGGGACGACGCGAAGAAACAACTCAAACACTGGCCAACTTGGGCATATGCCTTCCTAGCATTGATGTACGGCGTAGGCGTAGCCAGCAGTTCCAATTTCTTACCGGTAAGTTGACAGAAGTATTTTAGCGCCGGGCTTGATTCTATGACTGTTGATCCTGTGCTGATCCATACCTCATAGACACTCGTGAAGCGTTTGACTAAAAGCACTCCGAAAGCTAATCTTTACACCGTGGGCCCTAATCTCACCGCGTCGGTGATACAGCTGACAACTACGTGGTTCTCGGATCGTTACCAGCAGCGGGCATCGATCGCTTGTGGCACTGTCATGGTGTCTTTACTAGCCTGGATTCTTCTTGGAACCCTTGACCTCGTGCACCATCCGCAAGTCGGCTATTTTCTCACGTATCTCATCACCTTCGCGACTTTTACACCCAGTTGCCTCGTGCCGGTGTGGTTATCAGCAAACGTTCACACGACAACGGGACGTTCTGTTGCACTCGGTCTCAACTATATGGCTATGAACTTGGCAGGCATCGCTTCCTCGCTAGTGTTCCGTCCCCAGGATGCGCCTGTATACCGGCCCGCTCTCGTTACAATCGGTGTTACTCAAGGGGTTTTTGTCATCGCTTGTCTGACGTTGAGGCAGTATTACGCTCGGTTGAACAAGAAGCTGGATTCAGGGGAAATGCCGCACGCCCCAGGAATGGAGGCTCGGCCTCAATATAGATATGCCGTCTAGTGAGATGGCGGCAAGCAGATGGCTATGAGTTCAAGAGATTAAGGGACGACACTGGTGGAACCGATGATACTCATTGGTGCGTTAACATTGTTTGACCTAGAATATATGAGCAAGGGACGCTCTTAAATCTCTCTGACTGAGAGAGCCCGAATTCAAAAAGTTGGCAAATCTCCTTTGAACGTGAATTGAATATCAATATATCTGTCGACTCAATTGGAACGGCAACTTTACATATACTCTCGTAAAATGCTCGAGTGACATACAGGCGGCTAATAAAGGAACGTGTAGGTGGGGTCGGCTTGATCCTTCTGGGCGAGTGAGTCATCCCGGAACCATGCGGTGCTCGTGTTAGTCTCGGTGAACAGGACTTCCCTATACGGAAGGTCTGTAAAGTGTCCTGAAAGACATAAAGTGCACAGTGGCCCAGCTCATTGATTCAACGTAAAGCCGTCGAAAGGTCTCAATCAATTGTAAGATGCCTCTTGTCGTCCAACCCGCTGATGAATCTGATGCCTACCGGGCGGCTCTCATTGAACGAGATGCCTTTGACTCCAGTGCTTTTAATAGTATTCTATTTCCCGGCCCATTTCCTCCAGATGTATTGAAATTCCGAGCCGAGGAACTTCTAAAGCAACGTAGAAATGATGATACGGCCGTGTGGGTGAAAATAGTCGATACTGACATCGAAGCGAATGAGGACAACACGCAGATGATCGCATTTGCTAAATGGTATGACGGCTAAATAGCCTTTTCAAGTTTATTTGATGATAGTTGACCCTAGCTAGGAATATCTATGAACAGGCTCCAAAGCCGAAACCAATGCGTGATTGGCCGCCGGGTGTCAATGCCGACGCCTGTAATGCATTATTTGGCCGTACGTCAACCTTGAAGGACCGCTGGATGGGTGACAAGAGTTATGTCTGTCAGTCTATTGCTCCATTAAATATCTGCACCTCTTGGACAGTCTAACAGATGAAAGTTCTTCACATTCTTGTAACTGACCCAAAGTATCAGCGCCAGGGTGCAGGGGCCATGCTAGTCAAATGGGGAGTGGACGAAGCAAAGAGGCGAGGTTTCCCGGTGTATCTTGAGTCCTCTGACGTTGCACATAGTCTTTATCTCAAGAGTGGTTTCCGCGACCTAGAGTTGCTGGAAATAGATTTGAGCAAATGGGGTGCTAAAGATTTGTGTAGAACATGGGCTATGAGGCGCGACGACGACTAATATCTGACTTGACAAGGCCAATGATTTTCTCTTCACTACATCCTACTTCCTAGTATCAAGTTGTGATAAGCTGTAAAGCGCGTACGAGCATGTAAATG